TGGCAGCAAAAGAAACGGCACGCTTGCTTTCGTGTTCCCTTTTTAATATACGGTGTTTTAAATTTCACTACACATTTAAGTCCGCATGAAACCAACTTTTTGTAAAATATATCAGTCCAATCAGATTCCATTTTCTGATGCGTACGACTGAAAGCATTCTTCCACTCGATGGGAGTGAGGACAAACGAGGTTTCACTAACGTCAACACTAAAAGTTTTGACGTCATCAGCAGTTTCTTGTTTTCTAGCACGGGTATTTGGCCCCTGCGGCACTGGTAGCGATGGATTGGAATGTAGAGATGAGTTATTCCTCGCTAGAACAGAAAACCCTTCTGTTCGATCAATATCAACGTCATTTCCATCGCACTCACTACCAGTTATTCCTCTTTTCTTTTCTTCAACAAGCTGACGGATATTGTGACGATTTAAATGCCAAAGCTTGTACAACGAGTGACGTGTAGTTTCGCTGTGATCAAGCTTTAATAGATCAATGAGTTCACCCCAAACAGAACGGTGCAAACCAGTCACAGCGTTTAGTCGCCATGTTTCGGTATCGAGAAGGCTAGTACGATGTTCGAGAGAAGCGATACCTGTAACCAATTGCTCTAGAGTAATCCGCGACCAAATATTCTTACTCTTGTTATTTGAACGCAAATCACCCATATGTCAACAACAATGGATACACCTACTTATTATTAAACAGAATAAAACTTTACCCGTTTACCAAAAATGCGCATGAAAATTGCATAGCAATGAAAATTGTCGTCAAACAGGAGTTTGTCTATCGTTATTCGTTAAGTTCAAAACTGTACGTTATACTAATTCCTCTCTTGTTGAATACGAAGAGAAAAAAAGGAGAAAGAAATAGACGAATAAGAATGACGACGTTATCTCACATCAAACTGTTTCCTTCTTCCAAATGCATAAAGAAAGATGACTCACAATCTTCAGAGAGTCAATCATCTGTTATTAATAACTAGATACGACCAATCTCCTCAAGAAAGATATGATCGATTCTAACAATAATCAGAGAGTGAGCACCGGTGACAGGACATATAAATTTCAACTCATTCATCATTCCGATCAAACACTTCTATATTTTTTCGACGAACCTATCAATCGATATCAAATGTATCCAAAAGAGTCATATGTCCCCAAGCTAACACAAATAGGCATCACTATCCCCCATCTTCAAACCGAACTAAAGATCAAACGCAACAAATCAACAAACATAAACCATCTAAAAACGTAAAAACTACTCATCCGATCGCGAAGAAAGGAAGACCACATCAACGACCGATTTTCCCATATTTACCCTTGATGCCATATGATCAAGGCACTAATTAGCGATTTTCTCGTTGATGCCTCTGTCAAAGTGAAAAGTAAGATGTGCAATCGATAGAGGATGAAACGTTCTATCTGGAGCCATCAATAATAGAGTTGGAGCCAGTGAAGAAACGAATCGCCACAGCATTTTCTCATATTTACTCTCGATGTCATGTGATCAAGGTACTAATTAGCGATTTTCTCGTTGATGCCTCTGTCAAAGTGAAAAGTAAGATGCGCAATCGATAGAGGATGAAACGTTCTATCTGGAGCCATCAATAATAGAGTTGGAGCCAGTGAAGAAACGAATCGCCACAGCATTTTCTCACATTTACTCTTGATGCCATATGATGAAGGTACTAATTAGCGATTTTCTCGTTGATGCCTCTGTCAAAGTGAAAAGTAAGATGTGCAATCGATAGAGGATGAAACGTTCTATCTGGAGCCATCAATAATAGAGTTGGAGCCAGTGAAGAAACGAATCGCGACGGGGTTTCCCGGAGTTGCCGAAGTTTGCTGTCGGTTTTTGTCTATAATCCCGGAGTTTCTCCTTGCTAGTATGATAAACTTTTGGAGCGACAGCTGGGACAGAAAGCGCTGGTCCAGTGGTGCTTGGAGCCAACGGAAGCGGAATTGGAACCAGCCTGTGGGCGAATCCTTTCAGAAATTGCTCGAATCCTGACCTAGGATATCCTACGTCAAACAGATACATAAACAAGCACCACTATGAATTTGAATAAAGAAACATATACAAAAAGATATCAAACACAGAAAACTATCCAGCAAGTCACTCGTATCTTTACCGGAAAAAACGGACGTTCACTTGTTTTATTAAAAAACATAAGCATAACGTTGCAAAGAGAAAAAGAAATGTTTTCTTTCATTGCATAGCGAATACAGTAGAGGCGTATGTATTCATCATTTATGAATAAATAAAAACGCTTTCTTGCATCACTCACCAGGGAACCTCGCGAACAGTTACATCGTTTTTTCTAAGTGTTATTATAGCCCGAAAACTACTCATTAAAACGACACACCTCCCAGCTCTGCATGACTTTTCCTTAAAAAATTCTAGTATTTACAAGAAAAGCTCTACGTATGCAATGTCAGCTCAAACCTACAACAATATGAACAAAATTAACTTAAGGCTTTTCTTGACAATTGTATAACTTTGCAAAGATAAGAAGAAGCACTGAGAGAGATCTCATTTTGATCAGAAATGTGCGGGCTACAACCATGCTTCATTAAGAAAGGTTTTCCTTAACTTTTTCCTGTTCCTGAAAAACCGCCTTTCTACAAAACCGCTCTCTGAAGGCTTCCGGGCAGCTACCACTATGTTATTTCCATTCAACAAAGTTGATGACCTATAACCTACTATGTTTGGTTGAAAAAGCGATCTAACAGTTCGCGAGGTTCTATCGTTACTCCGAAACAGTTTCCTGAAACTCGCACTATGTTACAAATCTACTACAGTACAGAGAGATTAATTAATTAAGATTCGCTTAGCTCAGCTCTACTACCACAATCAGTTTCTTTCAATCGATTAGAAGGCTGACAGTAGGCTATAAAATACAAATTATTCATTTGTCCCCAATACATCTTCACTAGTGTTGAATGAACGATTATATTTTCATAGTAACCTGATACGTTATATGTTGAGACCGTTGAATAAAAAGCGCCTAATACACATGATTTAAAGGTAAATGTTGAACTATCGTTTGTTCTTATTGTCAATCCGCCGCCTCCACAACCTAACACATAGTTTCCACTTGCTCGAGAAGATTTTAATATAGCGACAGTTTTCATATCTACATAAGACCCACCGACAAATTGCATTTTTTACAGATTTCATCTCACTTTTATGACTTGACTATACCTTCAAGAAGGATCAAGGCGGGACGTCCGTAGACATAGCGATAATATAAAACAGCTTTCAATCACAGACCACATTTGAGTCGAACAATTATTCGGTTTCTGTAATTTCTCGCCCTGTGTCACCTGTCGTTTCACTTCATTATCAGAATTACTCTGTGACCAGGGTATCTTTCCTTTAGAATACGCTTCCCACATCAACACACCCATTGAATAAACGTCTGACTTTTCAGAATATTGTTCATTTGCTAACACTTCTGGCGCTGCATATCGCGTTGGAACAATATTGATTGTCGTTCTGGCAACACTATTTGTTGGTGCATAGAGTTTACTATGACGACTAATTCCAAAATCTGTTAGTTTCACAATGTTCTTGTGTGGTTCCTGTTTGTCTAATCGAAAGACTAAAACATTACGACATGCTAAATCACCGTGAATGATTCCGTTGTGAGCTAAAAAGATCATAGCGTCCGTGATTTGTAGAAACATAGCTTGTAAAATGTTTTCATTCAGACCAATATGTTGTAACACTTCGTACAAACTTCCTTCTGGTGCAAGTTCTTGCAGCAACGTCACAGAGTTTTGTGCATCGTCATCGTCGTTATCGCCACTATGTACCAAACCAAAAGTTCTTACAATGTTCGGATGACGAGTTAAATCAACATAAAATGACGCCTCCTTCTTAGCACGTGCTCCATCGATCTTCAGTAACACAATTCGCGGCCGACTATCATTATCTTTTAACCATTCAGCCTCATAGATTGCTTTACCAAATGTCTGAAAGAGTGCACGATGTGACTTTGTCTTGACATCAACTCCTAATTTAAATTGAAAATGCTTAGAACGACTTGCAGTTTCAAATTCATCGACTAATTTCTTCAATGTACGATTAGGGCGTAGTGCTTCAACGGTTAGAGGTTCTCTTGTCAATGGACTTGTACCGTGTTCACGGATCCACTTGGTGATAGCTTCACGTTCATAGGTATGGCCATCTTCACCCACGACAGGATCTCGAAAGAGATCGAAGGTAATGGGACAAATCAGTGAATCATGCATGTTGAGGAATAAGTTAACTATGTAGATAAGAAGAAAAAAACTTTCATTAGGTAAGAAAGATAAGAGAAAATTAAAATGATCCTTGGTTTGAATGACGACAACATTTTTTCATTTGATGTGAACGAGTTGAAAGGAAAATTCGCTTTGTCATCTGACGTCCCGCCGTGATCCTTCTTGAAGGTATAGTCAAGTCACAAAAATGAAACAAAATCGGTAAAATTTTATTTAAAATAACAGGTTGAACAGGAAAGATGGCCACATTTCTTACATTTACGACAATACGTACTCTTACCACAGCTCTCACACTTACGACAAGTAACATGGTCAAAAACACGAAAAAGAAAATCCTGAAAAGTATTATCAGGATCAATCGAATAATCAGGACATGAATTAGTACAACCATGACAATTGTTACGAGGACAACGACTATCACAATCGGCATATGGACAAACGAAATGTTTCTTAGATGGATCCTTGTTGAACTCGGTTGAATCTAAATATATGTATGAGGAAACCTGATTATAAAAAGAGACCAGATTGTTCAAAACTAGCGGGTGTGGCAGAAATAATGGCACTCTTAGTATTTCATGCATATCGCGCTTAGTTTTAATCGTGAAGAGTTGGGCTTAGACTCAAAAGATTTCCTGTTGAATTCTCTACAAAGCCTGTAGCAAATGTTTTTCTGTAGAAAGCGGCACAGGCATTCGAAAACAAGAATATTCAATACGCATGAAAGGGCGAACTTTATAAGCTATTTTTTAAATAATATTTTGAATCTTTTTTTCCAATTTGAAAAACGAAAAAGCGGTTAGTCTCGGTCTTGGTCAGTCTCTGTCTCGGTTTTTTCGCGGTCACGGCTGAGAAATCTCGGTGTCGGCCTCATCATGAAACTAGCTAGATCGAATCTAAGATGCATCTTGATCACCGTGGTGACGAAACGTTGAAAATCCGAGTCGGTACCGCTTGTCAACATATAATGAGCCTCCAAAAAAACATTTTCCACTTTCATGCAATTTTTGGGTCTATTTATAGCTTGATATAGGACAAGATCGAGACCGAGTAGTTCAGTGTCGGTACATGCCTAATACCTCGAGTCGTTATATACTCACTATTTGAAACTGGCATAGGTCGAGTCGTTGTATCCTCATCATTACCATCATTCGAATCCTTATTGCTTCGAAGCTGCATTGAAGTTGTTCGACAGGTGTCCTGGAAATAGCACTTTGATTTAGTTCTGTTCGATACCTTTTGTCTGAACATAGTAGGGTATAGCAGAGTTTCCTGTTACGGTGCATGCCGACTTTTTTATTGGAAAGTTACGTGGCTCTCTTACTGTGTGATTCAAGTTCAGTCTGTGCATAGGTTCGTGAGAAACTCAGTGTGGAGCTGATTTACAACGTTGCGTAGAAAAGTATTCGTTAAGCAAGCGTTGTCGATTATCATTGAATTTGACGCTCGACTTACATGCACTTAGATAAGTATGCGAAAGAAAATCCTTCTACTCGAGGTAATTACTGGATGCTTTATAGCAGTTTTCAGACATTAAGTAGTTTTGTGAATTATTTTTACCTGATGGATCTGCAGATCACATAACGTCTGACAAAATTCACATGGTATTTGTACTTCGGACGAACGTTGTTGTTGTTTGACATCTCTAGAGGTATATAATAAGATAAACTCAGTTAAATAGCACAGACATGCAATCAAACGATATTTACCCGTCTTCTTTTTTCAACGCTTGGTTCTCCATTTCCTAAAGTAAAAGTTAAGAGATCGTTAGAAGTCTTGCTATGAATCAAGGTTCAATGCTGAGTGCTCGTTCTAGTGTCCCGAGTCCGTCTTTCTAGAGCAGTCTTCCATTAACCTCGAGTTGTAAGCTAGTAGTCCAGACTGTCTTCTGAACCAGATAACAGTTGGAAATGTTGTAAAATTAGCATGAAGCATAAATTTGAGTGTGCCAGCTAAAATTTGGCGTCATATCAATAGTTTTCTGTCTGCTGTTAGAAATATAAAAGGGGTGAGGAATATAATGGCGGGAACACTAACTTGAACGCAAAAATGGTCTTATTTAGAATAAATCTAACGTACCGTCGGTATCTTCATTTGATATGGAACTGGAAGGAGACTCTGTTTTAAATTCGTAAATGTTGGCCTGCCTTCTACAGATAATATAAAACAGCTTTCAATCACAGACCACATTTGAGTCGAACAAGTATTCGGTTTCTGTAATTTCTCGCCCTGTGTCACCTGTCGTTTCACTTCATTATCAGAATTACTCTGTGACCAGGGTATCTTTCCTTTGGAATACGCTTCCCACATCAACACACCCATTGAATAAACGTCTGACTTTTCAGAATATTGTTCATTTGCTAACACTTCTGGCGCTGCATATCGCGTTGGAACAATATTGATTGTCGTTCTGGCAACACTATTTGTTGGTGCATAGAGTTTACTATGACGACTAATTCCAAAATCTGTTAGTTTCACAATGTTCTTGTGTGGTTCCTGTTTGTCTAATCGAAAGACTAAAACATTACGACATGCTAAATCACCGTGAATGATTCCGTTGTGAGCTAAAAAGATCATAGCGTCCGTGATTTGTAGAAACATAGCTTGTAAAATGTTTTCATTCAGACCAATATGTTGTAACACTTCGTACAAACTTCCTTCTGGTGAAAAATCCATTGCTTTTTAGGAATCGAGCATTTAGCAGAGTTTTTAAAACCGGAACTCTAAAACGGCAAAGACCCTTGAAGAAATATTTGTCTTTCATTTTACTGTCTTGTAGTTAACTTTATCTTACTATCTGAATGAAAGACAAATATTTGACTAACGTGACGAAAAAATACTCTTAGAGAAAAAGAAATGAAACAAACACTCAACAATTGAACTGAGAATGATAGAAATTTGAGTGACAGCTTTTTTTCGTCACGTTAGTCAAATATTTGTCTTTCATTTACGACCCTCCTTAAACTTTATCCGATCGAGTTCAAAATTTTACCACAGATACTCAAGGTCATTCCGCAGAGGTAGTTTTTGGGAAATTTTTGAGACCTTTCCTTGTCGAGTTATATGTACATTTTATTTTATTATAAAGAATAGGTTGAATTGAAAAGAAAAGAAATTTCAAAAAACGCTAGTGTTGAGTCATGTAAAGATAAAGCATACTGAAGAAAAAGTGAATTGAAGTAGATG